TAATTTAAATTTTTATTTTAATACGTATTTTTTGTGGAATATTATTTGTTTGGTATGTCATTATTTTACGGTATTCATTTTTATATAGTACCATGTGCCAAGAAATAATTCCAAGTAAAAAGAGCTTCACTTGAAGTTGGATTTCCAAGAGCAGAAAGTCATTTTCCCAGGCTTATACACCCTGTGCTGGCTCACCCTGTGTTCGCTCACTGTGCTGCAGCTAAGTAAATGTGGAGCAAAGGCATTGTTAATGGAAGCCACACACGAGTAGTTCTATTTTCGTAGTTGATTCCGCGAATGAAGCCTACTTCAGGCTACGTGCCTATAGGATATTTTAGAACTTATGCCAAGGCAGCCAGATTACCTTAATTTTTACAATATTTAAAAACTATTCCTTATATCTTAAATTACAAACTCTTAAATGTCCAGCTGAATGCTCATTTTCAACATATTTCCATTTGCATTTTCTTCACTCTTATAACTCGCTTACTTCTCATATATCTGGTAACATATTCATATACAGCTGCTCTCCTATTTTTCGTAAGCACTTCTCAGCATGGCAGCTTATCTTTTCCACACCATTTTCCACGCCTTACTTTTCCGGACATCTTTCAAAAGTTTTCTGCTCGCTCTGCAGCTGTCGACGCTGTCAGAGATTGTTTGGCTCATTTTGCAAAGCTGTGCAGCCAGCCAACCACAAAGCCACTGACAATGCAGCGATGTCGAAATGAAGGCATCAACCGAAAACCGAAAACCGAAAACCAAAAACTGAAAACCAAAAACCGTCGAAGCCTCGCTTTGAGCACCGCTTAAAAGTTTTGACACAGCCCGAAAAAAAAAATAGATCTGGCGCTGCCACTAGAATCCAATTTCATGCGCAAATTAACACCGTTTGCTTGCCGACTGTCAGAGACTTGTTAACCTGCCGTGACTGTTGAACCAATTGCAATTCATTTGAGCTGCACTCGCAAGCGAAAGCAAAGCTTAAGCCCAAGGCGTTAGTTCGCACGGCCCTCGACACCTCCCATTAACAGGTGTTTAGCAAACACCTTGATTTTGTAATTAAGTGCCATTTCCAACAGCTGCCGCCTCCTGCTCCCCCTCCTCCACCCCCTCTCGCTGCTCGCTCGGCTGATTCTGTCAACAGTTCTGCAGTCAAGTGTTTCGCTGCCGTCTTTGAGACTGATAATGAAATTCTCAGAATGTCGCCGCTTTGTGCAAACTTTCTCAGACATTTTCTCTCTGCCATTCGCAATGAGCTGTGCACATGTCTCCATGGAATTAACACACTAAGAGCTTCCGCAGCTAAACTAACAATATGTAAATCTACTCATATTGGCATATTTCTATTGAGTTCCTTGAATTGACTGAAATTCATGCTTGTTTTTCATTTTCATTTTCATTTTTCTTCTGCTTCAAATGAACTAAGCTGCTTTGACCAAAAAACTAACTGAAAACAAAGAAAACAACAGGAAATTCTAAGGAAAATACTATTTGCAATAATTGAATTTTTATTTTCTTTTATTTTGCTGCTGATTCTATGAAGCTTTTAAATGCTTTTAGTGTTTTTTTATATTTTCATGAAGCGACTCGAGCTGCTTTCCTTTGTATTGTGCGGAATATTTTCCATTCATGCTTACTCTGTATATTACAATGATGTCCCTCTGAGGACACATAAATATATAGTTTTTTTTATTTTATCATACATCGCTCTGTTTAACCTTGCGCATTCCACTTGGGGAATTACATTTGCACTTTGACTGCGGATTAAGCGTCAGCCAGCGGCGCTTTAGATGCTTTCTTTTTACTGCTACACACATACATGTATCTGTTATGTAAAGTGTGTCTGTTTGTAAAGTGTAAAACTATCAGGCTTTATGATTCCACCAGGACGTAAGCCACAATCAAACGAGAGAGCAGTTCACTGAGCAGTGGATGAGCAGATGTTAGTTCTGTTGACTCTTCTCATAGCATCACTAGAAATTGCAGCCTTCTGTGATTTTTCCGACTGGCACTGCGTGAGCAGTTCTCTCCAGTAGCGCGTAAATCAAAGTCAACAGAGAGAGAACTGTTCACTGAGTACATTGATTACATATGTGAGCTCAGCGGAAGCACATTCGGTTCGACTTTTAGCAGTCCATTTTCATAGACTCTGGCAATAATTTATCAATAACAAAATATCAAATTACTTTGTAACTCTTTGTTTGGTTTTTGAAACTTCTTGACTTGACTTCGGTTTGGCATATTTGATGGGCCACTAAAGGTTGACCGTATACGGCAAACATTGTTTGTTTTTTTGGCTTTATTGTTTTTGTATTTCTGGCTGCCCACAGGCCATCAACTAGCAATGTAATGCAATCAAATGCTAACGCTTGATTTATGACCGACTCGGGGCTGCAGCGAATGGCTGGCGCTGGGTGCGTGTGCGTTTTATGGCATCCATGCAGCAGTAGTCGCTGTCGGAGTCCTGCTCATTGTCGTCTATTGACTTTTGGCTGTTGGCCACGTAGCGGCAACGCCACGTTGGCTACTCAATCTTTCGACGTGACTTTTCGACTGCCACATGACGTTTTAGTTAATGAAATCGTAAGAGTGCTCGAGCTGGAGGTGGAACAGGAGCTGTAGAGTGTGTGTGTACCTATGGTGGAGCAGTTCTAAGTGCTCTAGGAGCAGCTTCCGGGTGCAGCAGCTGCACTTTGTGTGATTTGTTGAACCAGTGGGGCCAAATAATGCACAGCCACGTGCTGGTCGTTAAACTAATTTCCAGCTAGGAGCATCAAGCGACAAATGTTGTGCACTTTTTAATTACAACCACAAAAACTTTTCACTGCCAAATTGGCCAAACTGCAGATTGCAGATTGCGGAATGCGGATTGCAGCTGGCACTGCCAAGCAGAGTTGCCAAAAGTTTGGGATAAACGAGAGCAAGGCTAGAGCCAGAGATGGCAAACGAAAAGTTATGTATACGACATGTGCAACGACTTACTTGGGGTATCCGAAACAATCTCAGCAAATTGGCCACCTGTATGGATGTGACCGATGAGGCAGCGCCCACCACGCCCGATATCACCTTACGCACTTGCGTCTTGTTGCAATGATATTCGGCATCGTCTATGTTGCTAATCGAGCCTGCAAATACATTAAATGTGGAGATTCGAAATTAATGTGAATTTTAAATATATATAATAAATATTATATTAAATTTGTATCATATTTGGTATACTGATTATATATTATTACGATTATTATTGAAAATTCCCTCAGTCAAATGTTCTATTTGTGCGTTTGATTTAATGCATTTAAATGCATATAATAATAAATACGTAGAAAAAAATAAAAAATTTATCACATCTTAAAATTAAGAAAAAAATGTATTATTTTATTATTGTTATTCTTGTACTATTATTATTATTTATTATTATTATTATATTATTATTATTTATTATTATTATTTTTATTTATTATTATTATTATTTATTATAAATATTATTTATTATTATTATTTATTATTAATATTATTTATTTTTATTATATTATTATGCTTATTTATTATTACTATTTCATTATGGAAATATTATATAAATGCATCTAATAAATATTTTATTCACTACGGCATTAAAATTCCAAGCAAATCGCCAAAGTAGAAATTTCCATTTTTCATTATATGTGCAAGCTTTCATACATATAATTATTCCCATATGTAAAGTTCGATTTATTTTTGGCTTCTGTAAAATGAAATGGTTTCATTTTAATTGCATGTGATATTTTCGCATTTAGTAATTCAAAGTGTTATCAACTCAATTTAAGCTTGTCAGCTTATCCCAGCTCAATTAAGATTTAAAACTAAAAACTAATAAACCAATATTGAATCATGGATGGCCTGTGGCTTTGCACAAAGTTCTAAATGAAAAGTCAACGTTGGTCAAAGTCAAAGCAGCAAGAGAGAAGGAAAGATAGAGAGAGAGAGAGAAAGTGGGAGAGAGATGGGTTGCTCCAATAGCCAAAGTCCAAACTAAGCAAAACTCATACAAAGTAGTAGTTGTTCATTTTGTTTTTACACACACAAACGCGACGCCGACCCCTTGGCAATTATTCATTTGCATATTTGTGCGGGATTTTTTTATTTTTATTTGCTTGCTTTGTTTTTGATTCGTTTTTGCCTTGCTCTTTTTGGATTTGGTCTGCTTTAGTGCTTTCTATTTTTTAATTATAAAACTTTTCATGCTCGGAATTTTGTTGCACTGAAATGCGCCATTAAATTGTTTGCAACTGCGCGCCAGTAGGTGCAGCGCTTTTATTTCGCATTATTTTCAATCTCTCTTGGTTTTTTTTTTTGGTAATTGAATTTACACTACTCCACTTATTTATTTATTCATTTGCATGCAAAGTATTTCTTTATTTATACTCAAATATTTGATAAACTGCTTATTTAAGCGCATTTTGAAAAGTTCATTCAGGCGTGCTCTATTCTGTTTAACTATAAAGTGCGTATATATTTCTTAAAATTAATTTTACAGTTGCTCGTCAACTGTTGTCATGCGGACATCCTCAAATTTTCTGATTTTTCAGTGTTCTAGAGGATGACCACCTGAAGGCTGAAGGAAAAGAACTTGCATAGGAAGAAAAAGGTTCTTTTGTTTATGAGTTGCATTCATGTCAGATGAGAATATCAATTTATTCAAATTTTAGCCTTGGACTGGCTTGCTGTGCTTTAATAGACAAATTCCGTTTTGCATGACTTACTTTTTTGCATGTAACGCATACCAAACGTATCACATACCATATTTTGTGAACGTAATGTAACAGTATAATCCTTAAACGTAACGTAACACCATATTACGTAATAATGTAATGCAATTCTATATTACGTGATAACGTCATGTAACAAGATATTACGTAATGACCTAA